TTCTTGTTGAGTAATAATAATAATGGGCACAATATAAAATATATAATAATATAATTCAGTAAGCATCAAGAACCGGCGTGATGTTGGTCGCTTAACCCAGCGAGTTCCATTTGGTCAATAAAATATATATCTATGTACATGAAAGGCTTATATGATCAGTACGCCTAAAGGCGTGGAAAAAGGACCATAATTTCTTGTATTATTTTTTTTCACTCTCTAGGAGTCAAGGGAATATTATTTATTTAAAACCCCAAAAAGTTAGTTTTATTATTATCATTACCGTTATTATTATTACTTTTATTATTATTATTATTATTATTACTTTATAATTATTATTATTATTGTTGTTATTATTTATTATTATTATATGTTCTGTAAAGCTGTTGATAGAGACATCTGGCCATCTCTCTGGTAAACCTCTACAATCCAGTGTAGAAGAGGGACGGCTTATTAAGTTAATAAGTATGTTCTACTGAACGCGTCAATAAAATTCAACATTGTGGCACTGACATACAACCGTACAAGTGACACAGCCCACAGAAGAAAAACTAACTATAGTTTAGTTTAAACGGTTACGACAATTATTTTTAAAATAATTAAAACAAAGAGTTTTCTTCCGTCTGTTGAATTATTAACGCACTCTGAGTTTTCTTTTTTGTTTTTTAAATAATGACAACACTGAGTTTTCTGTTGCTGTTTAACGATTAAAACATTAGATTTCTCATACACGGTCAGTGATTAGGACAATAAACTTGTTGTTGTTGTTGTTGTTTGTTCTTGTGTGTGTGTGTGTGTGTGTGTGTGTGTGTGTGTGTTTAAATTTGTTAAATCTCTAAAACAGTTTTAAAACAGCCTGAATACTGACTTTTATTTTATTCCTCAAAGACTAAATATAGAGTTTTCTTTCCTGTGCGAACTACTAGTAAACCAGCTTTTCACCTTTAGACAATTGCAAAAACAGCACCACGCATCAGATTAATTGACAAAGAGAAGATCGAATGGTTTGGCCATCTCGTCTGAATGCAGACACAATCACAACCCACACATAGGCTACACATAAAGAGAGATATAATGTGAAATAATGACGTCACCCAAGAAGAACTTTGATTGATGACTTTAAAGACCTTCTATACTGTCACGGAAAGTCAGCAGCCGTTGCTACTCGTCAAGCAATGGATCAGAAACTGATCCTCCCCACAACGCTTGACGACAAAACACGAAATCGATGTTGTTAATGAAGAGGATAACAAAAACACATAATTGTTTTCATTACTCTGTTAATGACGGTCAGGGATAATTGTATCCTACGTATTTTTTAACTTTTTTTTCTCTCACTTTTTAGGCGTGGCCAGTTATTACTTTAAATGTTAATCCATGAAAGTGATGAAAACAGGAATGACTGCCGTCAAGATTATACCAAGAAATGAATCTTTAAAAAAAAAGTGAGAGGGGGGGGGGGGCCTCCGTGGTCTCGAGGCATGGTGTCCGCCTAAAGTGCTATATGTTCCGTGTTCAATCCCCTGTAAGGGCTGGGACTTTTTCACGTGGACTTGGACTTCTTGTAATTCCCCCTGGTCTCTGGGTAGTGAGATCGGACGCCCGTGTGCATTGTTTCGCACGTTAAAAAAATCCCTTGGCAATTGGAAATCCAAAAGAGAAACCTAACGGCGCTTCCCATGCAACAATGTTGAGTTTTAAAAAAATCTACCCAAAGTATTTCGGGATCCTCGCCGGTGCTACAGAGCCTGTGCACTGTGCTAAGCTTCTTCGGTTTCAGACTTGAGATAGAAGAAGAAAGGAGCACTTATGGGTCACTACCCGTGTGCCATGTTGTTGATCCGTCCTTCAAACCTCACACCTCAATGAATCCAAGGAATTAAAAAGGTTAATAACAACGTTCTAATGTGTGCAAATAAGGTTAACGAGGTGAGAACACACACACACGCGCGTGCGCGCGCACACGCATACAGTCAATGTTTCGGCAGGAGCAGAGACTTTTCTTTTGCCATAGTTATGTTACAATTATGACTTTAATTGTTCAAAACATTTCTTTCATGTACAGAACCCTTTTCCCGCCCTTGTCACAGTGGGCATATGGTGCTAGCAGACGTACGGTTTTCTTACAGACCAAACGACAATCAGTGGGTGATGTGGTCCACATCACGCCGGTCGCCTTTATTTCCTACAACATTACCTGGTACCTATATCGAGCTTGGTCGGCCTGTGATGCTGTGTCAGTTTTGAAGCAGAAGAAAAATCGTCTCAGTGTAGAAGTAAAATTTAAAATGTATATGTTACTTATACTATTCGGTCCGAGGCAATTATTTTGTTTATATTTTGTTAATGTTATTTAAACTACTTAGCCGCAGAAAATTAATTATGTTTATATTTTGATTATTTTACTCAAACTATTCAGCCCGAGAAATTATTTTGTTTATTTTTTGTTTATCTTGCTTAAACTATTCAGCCCGAGACAATTATTTTGTTTATTTTACTTAAACTATTCAGTCCCAGACATTTTTTTTTAATACTCCATGAATACAATCAAGGCTTCGTAACGATTTGGTCCCAAAAAAGTACCGTCTCTTAACGACCATATATACAAGGCCAGGAATTAAAAGTTGTCTGAAATGGGAGGTGTTAGACCGAAAGGAGCTGATATCGCAGCCTAACTGTTAACAGCAACAACATATTTCACGACCCTTTTGAGATTGGATAGAGATAGAAGAACACGTCTGGAGATGACAAGTTTAATTCCCAGGCATGACAACTAAGGCTTTCGATTCCTATACTGCCTAGTGTGGTCCCGCGGATCAGAAGGTGCTAGCTTCAGCTCCTGAGGGAACCTGGCTTTCTTCAGAAATAACCTCGGCTCCCAGGTCGTCCTAGCCTTGAGTGGGTAACAGGTTCAGTCCTGGGAAGTAAAGGTGGCCGGCGTGATGTCACCGCATTACCCACCGAGTGTTTATTGGTCTTTAAGATGTAGGTCTAGCCCTATATGCCCAATACGCCTGAAGGCGTGAAAAAGGGTCCTTAACTTCTTACATCAGACACTATCAAGCCGTTGTTTTGTTACATTTGTTTTCAAACTTGTTCCTGTGCATGACCGCATTAAAAAAGTAACGTAAAGGACCCTTTTCCTCGCCTTTAGGTGTATAAGGCATATAGGGCTAGACCTATATTTTCATAGACATATCGGCACATGATGGGTGATGTGGTCAGCATCACACCGGCCGCCTCTACTTTCCGGGACTGCACCCGGTACCCACTCAAGGCTGGGTCGACCTGGGAGCCAAGTCATTTTTGAAAAAAAAAAAGTCCGGCTTCGCCAGTGCAGCGAACCCACGACCTTTCTATCCGCGTCGAGCGTCTAGCGGCTACGCCACGGGGACTCCCCATGACCGCTTTATGTAGGATTATTCTCTCGTCGATGAGAATCAGGCAGGTGCAAATCCCGGAGTTCCCGTTCAAACCCTATATTCATAAAGCTCAGTTATACTGGTGAACCCTCTATGAGTGCCAATCAATACACTTTCTGTTAATGATTAATTACTGGTGAACCCTAAAACAGTGCAAAGCCACCTGTGATCCAATATGGGTAGGTCTTAATCCAATAGCCATTCTGGACTCGTCATAGGTGTGGTGGGAGTCGCGCTAGCGTTGTGGCTTGACCCTCGCTCTTGTCCTCAAGGTCGTGAGTTTGAATCCTCATCAACAGCGATTTTCTTTGGTAACCTTGGCTTCCAGGATGACCCATTCTAAAATAGGTTGCAGGTCACGTCCTGGAAGGTAAAGGTGGCCTGCGTGATGGTGACCACATCAGCCAGCGAATGTCAAATCGTCTTCGTAAAGAAATATCTAGCGCTCCAAGCACCAGAGGCCCTAAAGGCGTAAGAAGTGTCCTTCACTTTTAATGTCGTAAGAGTCGACTAATTGGGAGCTTCTTTCAGAGTCGAAGTGCATCTACCTGAGAGGCAAAAAACCAACAGTCTGCGTACAAATTAGTCAAATTGTCAAACGGATACACACGCAAGACTCAAGTTCTAGAACAGGACATCAGTCCAGAAGTGGACGAACAATCAGAACTTTCCGCCAGATTTTACAGCTGGTAAATGCAAAGATGAAAGAAGATAGATGGAATCCAGTCCAGCATATTTGTCTTCTCTCATCAACGTTTGTTTAGTTTTGTTTTTTAACCTCCTCGTTACCTCAGTTCCTTTATTTCTTATTTCAGTGCCTGCTTGGAGATTCTCTGCTCGTTCTTCTCAGACCATGTCTGTGCGCTGTCAGATGTGTCTTCTAAATGTGGACACCCGTGGTTGCCCAGACAGTTATCTTATTTCTTCACCCCCTTAAATTCTTCCCCATGTTACGTCACCTGTATACTAGCTGTTAATTCTGTAAAAGTCTGCATATATACTGATATTTATTTTTGCTACAGTCAACTGCTACATTTAGCCGTAACTGCTTCTATCTTTACCATCCTTGCCGAAAGCTAATTACAACATGTGAGATGAGTTGTTTAGGAAGTTCGGCAGGAAATGCAAGAAGAGACAAAGTCACCAAAGAAGAACTAAAAACAAAGGTAGGCACAGGAGCGGTACATGATTTCATAGAACATCAAAGAATCAAATGGTTTGGCCACCTGGTCATAATGCAACAAAAATCAGCCAGCAGCTAGAGTGCGCTACATGAAAACTGCAAGCTAAAAGGCATGAGGCTGACCAGACAGAGGTGGGCCGATGGTGTAAAAGAGACACTAAAGAAACACAGTACGACATTAACACAAGCTATGCAACCAGCAAAAGACAGGAAACTACGTCTATTTCCTTTCTGCTACCCTTTACGATATCATCAGTTCGACAACAGAAGAAGAAGAAGGCCGAACGCTGCTACTGGTTTTAAACCCGTTAAATAGAGTGGAACGCCCAGGTGTAAATGTGCAGCAATGAGCATTCACACCGAACGAGACAGGAAAATACACATGCACGTGGACTCACCTGGCGGTCTCCAGGGCTGCGGCAACACTCCGGGCCAGTAAATGGGCGGCCGGCCCGGGAGTTCGGCCAGTTTGGGGAACCGAGTATGGTGGCCCATGTACATGCTGGTGTTAAGTCTGGGTAGACCCAGGGCGGCGTGGGGTCTGCTGAGAATATCGTTGATTCCATGGGGAGTGGAGAGTGCGTGGGACATAGCCACCTGCATTTGTTTGAGAGTGTCCGGGGAATAGTCCTGAGTGAGAAACGAGGAGGATGTCGAGGGAAATTTCATTTCTGTGAGGTTGTGCAGAGCGGCAAGAGGGGGCGAGCTGAGGACGAAGGCGCTCTGCTGCCTGGTGTCCAGTCCACCCTGGTGGTGGTTCATGTTGAGAATGGACGCCATGGATGGTGGGCCCCCAACACCAGAACCAGGCCCAGAACCGAACTCCTGTCCCCTGGTTGTGATGAGGGTGATGATGGTGACCATGGTTGTTGTAGCTGTTCTGGGCGGCTTCGTTGCCGACGCTGCTGCAGTAGTCCAGCATGTCTGAGACTGTCGAGTCCTGGTAATCAGAGAAAGGCGACGACGACGAGGAGACTGGCGTGACGCGGCCAGTTAACCTGGCAGAAAAATCTGCGTAGTTATAGTGGGAGAACGGATGCGTCAGCGTGTTTGGTGGTTGGAGCCGTTAGCTCGTCTTGTAAATAAAATGGGTTTAAATCTGCTTTTGTTTTGAGTCTCACCGTTCTTTCATGCCCCACACTCGGTGAACACACTTCTCGTACCAGTCAAACAAAGAGAGATATGCCAGCTTGGCCCACAGAAAAAAATTTATATTTAAACTAAAAATCCTTGTTGATCAAACTTTACGCGGAGTACGCGCTATGATTCTCACACATTTAGAACATTGTTTTGTAGTACTTTAATTATAACATCTAACAGAAAGCCGTGAAGTTTTTTACATACCCTGCACATCAAAGTGAACACATTGGCTTCAAAGTTAAATAGAAAACAAGAAGATCCAAATTTCAGCTAAGGTGAATGTATAAGTCACGTAAACATTGTAATTTGTTCCTTAAACATTCCGTCGAAAATATGATCCGCACAGCCACAACGAATATAAACACGACCACAGTCGGGCTAAGTTGTACCAGGCACAAGTTTCAGGCTCTTGCTAAAAGAAGATGTCTTATATGAATCAAATGAAGTGCTTATAAGCCTTGCAACTGAGTTGTGTAATAAAATGCCATGATCCGAGTTCTTTATAGAGAAAAGCACGCGCGGATAATCGGAGCAATGATAAAGTGTGAGCTTGCGAGTGTATCACCAGTTGTCAATGATAGGTTCTAACTCCACTATCAACAAATCTCCCGAATTTTCCAACAAAACAAATCACATCCCTCGTAAATCGGAGGCCGAACCAAACAAAGTGGAAAGTTGAGGTTTTTCCGCCCATTTCCGTCTCCCGTCATTGATCTCCCGTCTGTTACAACCAGGGGGTCGACCGCTGGCTTTTTCTCAACGTTTCTATTGGCTGGCCGCTCAGATCGGCTGTCAGGCGGGGCGTAAGTTATTCCGTCGTTATTGGTTTGCGGTCGTATTCAAGAAAAACACGGAGAATCATCCATTCTAGTTGCTAGACTTTCCGATTAATGCTTCTGTGTTCTTTTGGTTGTCAAGTTAGCTGGCTGAATAAATGGATGGGTGCTCATCTTTACCGCATGTGTTTGTAGCCAGAAAGCTGTCAAAACTTTAATTGGGGCAGACAACGGACCCGAAGTTCTTCCCTTCATTACACAGCTGGAAAATGGAATTTGTCATATTTGAGAGAACACGCATGTCACGCTCATTAGACACTTCACCCACGTGCATGTTCAACATCTGTCCGGTCGTAGGGGCAAATTTTGGTTAGGATACAAGACAGGAGAGCCACGTATCAATCAGATGCTTAAAGTAATTTAGGAAATGGTTTATGTTTCAAGCGATACATCTAGAATAAGCGTTTAGATGGCCAATCAACGAAAACCGTAAGAACCGCGTAGGTATTGGAAATAAACTTGAAAGCAAGTCACCAGGCGGCGGAGAAAGGAAATCTTAAGATATAACAGAATAAAAGGCGTTTACGAACTCTTACACTGTGACATTTCGTCAACGCATACAAGGCGTTAAAGATAGAAGAAAGAGGAGAGGAAGTAGACGGTGCGGTGGGGAGAGCAAATGGCTCAGCAAGGTCATGTGGTACCAGTGCAGAAACTTTCTGATATCACCCCACCCCCACCCTTGCCCTTTCCTCTCTGCAGCCATAAATAGGGTTTGCTGGGCTGGATGGGGTGTGGGGGGGGGGGGGGGGTAGAGAAAAAGAGAGAAAAGAAAGAGGAAATGAAGAAAAAGAAGGAGGTGAAAAGTTTATGGCTCTGAAGCAGATCGCTATATAACTTCCATGCTTGGAATGCTAACATAACAAACCGAAACTGAGACATCACATGAAGATACACAGGCAGAGGGACATTATCCCGACCCCACCATGGCATCAGTTATAGCAGAGGGATATTCTCCCGACCCCACCATGGCATCAGTTATAGCAGAGGGACATTCTCACGTCCCCACAATGGCATCAGTTATAAAGAGTACAGTAAAGAATCTTGAATATTCTCCGTCAATAGGATTCATTGCTATCAGTCCCCCGTTTGGGTTCCAAGGCCCTATTGTGGGGAAAACAAAAATACACCCACTGCCTCCCCAAAAGCATGTCGTAAGAGTCGACTAACTGGGGAGCTTCCTTTGAAGTCGAAATGCATCTGCCTGAGAGGCAAGGCACCAGCAGTCTACATTCAATTGAATCAGATCTGTAAAACTGATGCACACGCAACACTCAGGTTCTGGAGCAGGACTGCAGTCCAGAAGTTGACGAACAACCAGAACTTTACGCCAGAGTGTACAGCTGGTGGAACGCGAAGAAGAATAAGAATGCTATCAGTTACTTCGTTTTTCACAACTGATTGTATGTGACAACAACTGATTGTATGTGACAACAACTGATTGTATGTGACAACAACTGATTGTATGTGACAACAACTGATTGTATGTGACAACAACTGCGCGTCTGTGTCTGTACTCCTGTTGTTGCTATATTTAGGGGAGGTTCTGAGGGAAAGGGTAAGGAGAGTGGCAGCATGTTAAATCCAAGAATTTAGGCCCGCATGGCTACTTCAGTCGGCAAGAACTAAATCATACAAAGGGTTCGAACCTTGGTCTCCAGCATGAGAGCCCACAGTTCTAACTGTTTGACCAGACTGAACTGATTACAACAATCATTACGCCCAAGTGGACCGAGACATTCGGCTCAGCTACAATAACGCATATCAGAACGGGTAAACCAGCGGAGAATCGCTAAACAGGCACAGCAACGGGAACAAATGGACTGACGACAGGAAATCGTCCACGTAAACCCCTAAAACGAACGTTGTTGAGAAAGATCAAGGGGCTGGGCTGGAATCCACAATGGAGGTTTAGACAACGAACCCTGTGTGAGGTGTAACGTCAGCACAAGATGATAGTGATGAGGATGATGAGGATTAATGCGGTTGTGGTGGTTGTCAAACGTACAGACACCATGTTCAGGATCTCTTAGATTAGCATTGTTGACATTTTCCTTTAGTAGACACAGCCTGGGCACAGCTGCTGTCGCGGTAGGGTTACATGTCAGGACAGGAACAATCGAGGGCCAGCTTTTCCTGGACTAAAGATCTATTAGGTATATTTTGAGTGAGGTATATACACTGGATGCAGTATATAGACTGGGTGTGGTATGTAGAGTAGTTGTGGTATATAGACTGGCTGTAGTATTTAGATTGTGTTGTATATAGTCTGGTGTGTGGTGAATATAAGTGTTACATGCCCATGTTGTCTCAGTCCTTTTAAATAGCAAACTGTATGACACATGGTCCAGATAGCTGTCTGAAATGGGCTAGCACAGTTTATTGGAATCTGTTACATACTTTTAAAAACGGAAACTACTTCCTACTGCGCAGTATATGAGGCTATTAAAACAGAGGTTCGCTGTTCGACCCAGGCTAAAGTGGGTACCAGGTATTTGCCAGCAAAGTGAAGATGTTTTGACCGTGTCATCCCCTGGCGACCATTCTTCTATACAAATTTTAGCATAGGACCATATACCCTTACAAACCAAAGGCGTATACCTTGTTCTACAATACCACAGGCGTGAATATTATCTTATATTCTTATGTATATATATGTGTATATATATATGTATATGTATATATCTGTATGTATATGTGTCTGTGGCTAAGTCGATGCGAACACTTCGTTCGTAATGTGTGTGCCGGGAGATCCCAGCTGGTAATGCGCCTTGCGTTGGTTTCGGTCAAGAAAGCCGAACACGCAATGGCAAACTACTGGACGTCCCAGAGAAACAACAACAGCCAGGGGCTGTTAGGGTTTGGTTCTGCAACGTCCTGTAAAGGATACGCAACAACCTTAATATATATATATATATATATATATATATATTATGTATATATATGGTATGTGTGTGTGGCGTGTATATATTATATATATATATATATTATATATATATATATATATATATATATATATATATATATATATGATGTGTGTGTGTGTGTGTGTGTGTGTGTGTGTACTGGTACCTCGGGTCACGAACACGTCTAGTCACGAACAAACCGGCCCACGAACATAATTTTTGAAACAATTTTGAATTACCCGCGAACAATGCATCTGTGAAGCATCGGTTCAAGCACGACCGGCTCCGAGCCGGTCGTGGTTCAAGCCCCGTTGAAAGCTTGGATTTTTTTACGTGAGCTTCTAGCAATTTCCCCTTGTCTCTGGGTAGTGAGATCAGGACGCTCGTGTGTATTCTTGTGCACGTTAAAAAAAATCCCTTGGCAGTTGGAAATCGAAAAGAGTAGTCTTAACAACGCTGACGGGCAAAATTTGGAGTTGAAAATCTACTGAAAGTATTTCAGGATCGTTCGCCTGGCTAATCTACATCTACAATGTTGCGCTAAAGACTGCGGATGTGGCGAAAGGAGTGACTCTGTTAACAAGCCAAAGGTCTTAAGTGTTAGAAGAACTAGACAAATAGTTGTTAGCCACTGGGCTATCTATCAAGGAAGACTCAAACATGGGCCTAACAAACATCCAAGACAGACAACAGGTGGCAACGAACCGCCAGACATAGATAGCTATGACCTCTGCCCTAGGCTCCGCCCTAGTCTCAAGAGGAAAGACTAACTAACTAACTAACTAACTAACTAACTAACTAACTAACTAACTAACTAACTAACTAACTAACTAACTAACTAACTAACTAATTAACTAACTAACTAACTGACTGAGTCAGTAGTCGAACCGCTTCTAAGAAAACAAGAGACAAATACCAGAAATATCTACAGTAGCCTGACGTTATTATTAAATAGGTCTCTCCTCTGAAGGAGTACCCTTCC